GATTCTCCTCATCAAGAGCTTTCAAATGATGTATGATATGTGGGGATTCACCCTCCCACGGCATATGCCCGGGTTGGAGTACCTCTCTTCACTAATTCTCCACTGGCGGCCTCCCTCCAATACATTGAAATGGTCGGGGTGGAGAATTAGTGAAGAGGAGTACTCCACCCCGGGTTAGAACCGCAAGAAACATTGAATCCTCCACATATTATATATCATCTGAAAGCTCTTGAAGAGGAGAATCTAACCTATGAAATCGCAACATAATCATGCAGTTCTGAAGAAGTTATGAGCTGAAAAACGGTTTTTTACCTGCTTTTTTAAGAGCCTGTATCTCGGCGATGTTTCAATGGATCGGTACAGCTAAGACAAATTCTGATAGGGCAAACCTCACCCTACAAAACCTATGAAGTCGCAACATCACACACCTTCAAAGTCCGGATTTATAAGAGTTTATGTCAGTTGTCATTAAGCAACCTAAAATTGAGAAGATTTTTAAGGTTTTTCAAAATTCTCGTTCTCGGCGGCCACTCCTCAAATCAAACTGATTTTTTACTATCTGGTAGAACAACACTTACCCTTCAAAACCTATGAAGTCGCAACTGCGGAGGTCCTCAGCCAGCAGATTTGTAACAGTGGAATTATTTTTCACGATTTTTCATTATTTTATCATTCGAAATTCTGGTTCTCGGCGGTTACCGCCTGGATCGACCTACTACATAGCTATATGCTCTAATACTTTCTTTTACATTCCTTTTCCTTCATTTTCCTTCTTTTGAGCTTTAGCAAAAAAATTTTCAAACCCAAAAGTGGAAGTGGTCACTCTGTACCAGCTCAAAAGTGAAGGTAGGCGAAGAATCGGCTCCGATCATCGCACCTCTGTTTGCATTCCATTCATCTCTCTATACTAGGTTGGCCCAAAAGTTCGTTCGCACCATTTCCAAAAATTCATAACTTCTGGAAATGCTAAACGATTTGCGTGTTTTCAATTCCATGTAAAAGAGCAAGTCATTCTCTTCATAGCGATGTCTTAGCGACATTCCAACGAGCATACACTGCATAGGTATAAGTGGTAGAAAAAATGACTATCATAAATTTTCTGTGTTCGTAAAAAATCTGAGACTTGCAATAAAAATCGGTGCCAGCCAAAAACAGCCGGTATTATAGGTTTTATTACCAGCTCTTTTCAATTGTGCAAAGTTTGTGCTGATTAAGCGTCTTTATGAAAAATTATGATTTTCGAGAAAAAGCCAAAATAGATTGAAATCGCCCTTTTCTATTGCTTGCTCGAAAATCCTAACTTTTCATAGAGGCGCTCAATCAGCACAGTCTTTGCACAGTTAGAATGAGCTGGTAATGGAACCTGTAGTTTCGACCGCAACGATTTTTACTGCAAGTTTGTGTTTTTTGCGACCCTCTACAGAAAATTCATGATAGTCATTTTTTTCTACCACTTATATCTATGCAGTTTATGCTCGTTGGAATGCCGCTAAGACGTCGCTATGAAGAGAATGATTTGCTCTTTTACATGGAATTGAACACGCAAATCGGTTGGCGTTTCCATAAGTTATGAAGATTTGTAAATGATGCGAACGAACCTTCGGGCCAACCTAATATACAGGGTGTCCCAAAATAATGTGCACACTGTTTGATTTTGAATAACTCTCTTATTATGAGGTCTTTCGAGAAGCGGTAAGCGCCATTTTGTAGAGCTGGCTTCAACTTAGATTTGCAGTATAGGATGAATCACCGACCGCCCTTCATTACTGTAGGATTACGGTAGAAACTTGGAACACATGGTGTCAATGTGGAAAAAGCCCGTTTCAAAAATTTTCAAAAAGATGTGCAAATTTGTGTAATAGGGTTTTTAGGGACGCTGAGTTCAATACTCAACTATTCTCAAGATTGCGAAACTTTCTAAACGGTGTAACCGCACTTTTTAGGAACATTGAGAAAATGGCCGCTACTGCTTACCTCGCATAACTCTTCAGTGAAACATCATAATAGGTTAGGAACTTTACAATTAGAGTCAGCAACTCTAATTGGCCTAGTGTAAAAGTTTTCAGGCTGTTTTGATTCCTTTCTGAGGCAAAATGTGGCCTTTCATGGCCCAAAACCCTCTTTCAAGTTTCTACCATAATCCTACAGTAATGAAGAGCGGTCGGTGATTCGCTCTATACTGCAAATCTAAGTTGAAGCCAGCTCTACAAAATGGTTTTTACCGCTTCTCGAAAGACCTCATAATAAGTGAGTTATTCAAAATCAAACAGTGTGCACATTATTTTGGGACACCCTGTATAAAGCTCAAAAAGTGTCTGTTTGAAAGGTATGTGCGTTATAGAAACGCGCGTCGCTCAAACGATTGGGCTGAGTTTGCACACAGAAGTTTTCGTTTCCGGAGACGTTCTTGGGCTACTTTTCACTGGAATTCACCAAGTTCTTATATCGATTTATTGATCTGTTTACTCAGATCTATGGCAATGGAAGGTTATCATGTTTTGACCAAGTTTTATCCTATTTTTATGTAAACACGGGTGGTGAAGCTTACTTTGGTTCCGCGGTGAAAAGGATGCGGTGTTGCAAAGCGGCAGCCAGGATGAAAGGCAATCAACGCGGGAGCCAGAAAAACGGTAGGCGCAGGTTTGGAGCGGGTGCAAGAAAGAAGAAAGGAAGAACTTGCCGAAGGGTGAAGAAGAATAGAAAGTTGGAAACTTAGGACGGGTAGGTTGGACTCTTTGGGAACCATTTTGTCCCTTCGAGGCATCAGATTATCAGACCCATGGTCCGAGCGGGACGGGTATGCCAGCTAGTGTCAGATGAAATTAGTGCGGTATTAAGGCAATGCATCCACCTGTTCAACTGCAGAATGATGTAGTATGCATTGGTAGACTTCCCGCATGATAGCATAAGGAAGCAGTCGGTTTGTACTAGACTGTACGATAGTGAAGGTGTCTTGGAGCAATGCAATGTCTGCCCCCTACGGGAAAATTGGAGACTGCGCAAATACAGCCTATACCAGTTGTAATGCTTGAATTGTCAAGATTGCAACATAGATGAGAAGGGGGAATGGTACGAGGCTGAAAAAACATTGAACAAACAAAAAACGAGGATCAACATCAGCACCGTTGGGAAGACAAAAAGCTGAGAAGCATGGCGAAATGATTTTGAAGTACGATTTACTATATTAGGAGACTGAGATCTCAGCAAGAAATCTAAAAGTAAACGCAAAAAATGAATGCCTGTCGATTAGCAGTGATCTTATGCCGAATATGTCATTTTGTAATCTCACAGCCGGACATAAAAGTTCTGACTCACTGAGTAACAATCAATGACGTCCGATACTACTCGGTTGTACGGACGTACTAATATGCGGTGGAGTCGAAGTTGGTTCTTTTCACAAACTCAAAAAGTTCCCAAAAATTTTTCAAAAACTGATACTATAAGAAATCAAGAAAAAAAAAATTTTTTTTTGCATTCGATGAATTGATGTCCGCGTCATTGCGACGCAGCCATTTTTGGACTTATTTTGGTAAAATATTTTGAATTTTTTTTGAAACGTGTTTTCTAAAATTTGCAATGTGAGCATTGTAGCTCTTGAACAGCTCTATCATCCCATAATCAATCATCTTTTCATCTCTATTTTTCACCTGAAAATGAGTGATGAAAGCCAAGATTGCTGGTTCGCAACTTCATGTCGGTCACTTTAGCGATATCAAGATCAAACACCAATGTTTGAACTAGATGAGCTGAATGAAAACACATTCCTAGAAGGGAAACTCGTCATCTGCGAGTGAAAATTTCAGGAATTAAAGCGTAGAAGAAGATCAGTGTAAGTTTTCCTCTGTATTCAGGCCTTTTCCAAAAGTTTTCCGGCAGTAACCAGGAAGTAAAATTCCAAAAACAACGAAACACATCACAGAGGCACAAATTTTTATGCATATTTTGTTCTTCTCAGAATATCCAAAAAGTGTTCTAAATAACCCATAGTTTCTGCTGAAACTCATTTTCTTTGTGCAGACAACTATTCAGCTCTTTCTATTTTAACCCACTAAAAGAAAGGTTCCCCACTTTGACTTAAATCCGTTCGTAATCGTGCCATGTCATAAATGGCCGATGGATGATTTTCTTGTAAGCTTGCCGAGATCCAGTAACAAACCGTAGCCTCCAAAGCAAGGCGAATTTTGTCAAGGTATACTCATTTATTTTGGAGGAGTAGAAGTTGATGTGAGCAATAAACGATGCCATTGGGAAAGAAAACGCAGTATGAGAAGCGGTAGGACCAAGCGTTAAATATAATTGATGTTACATTGTTTTATGTATAGCACACTCAAACTTGTTTCGAGTTAATTGTCTATTTCAGTTGCTAAAAGGAAATTTTCTAGCAATAAGAATTAGTCTGAAGCGGAAGAATGATTGAGTTGCTTGCGGAAGCACTGTTGATTTTCCACGGTTTTGTCCTTTATTCTTCGCTGTTCTCTTAGCAATGATTTTACTGTTATTTTATCAAGACATTTAGCTTGAAACATATCTGTCCTTTGAACTTACTGCAAGAAACCATCTAAGCATACTTAATCTTTCTAGTTACATACAGAGCAATTATGCATCAGAGTACTAGTTATATAAGAAAACCAGCAGTCGGAGTCTTTTTATCTCATAGCGCTCCATCTGGTAACATATTATAGAGCACAAAAATGGTCGAATGTCATTTGCACCCTTCCTGCTATTCTCGCTAGTGGATAATCGTGGTCGAGTGGAGCAGTAATCAAAACAATCCCCCGGGTTCATTGATCATCGATAAGTCTGGTAAGTACGTGTTTATTCAATTGTTTACTTTGGCGCATTTTGGGTGTATCGAGTAAAATTGCTGAATATGAATGTAAGGACATGGCCATATTCATACTCGATCCAAAAAAAGGGTTTACTCTCATACATAACTATACACATTCATTACTCCTGCACAAAGCGAAACAAGCATCTTTTGCGAGTTTTGAATAAACAACCAGCAAATTAAAATGAGTGAACATTTGGCACTTGACTGATCAAACAGAGCATAAGTCAAACATCATACATGATAGTCTAGTACCAAAATTATTGACCCGGTTTCAATATGATTGAAGAGTAGAGGATCTACTACTAGCAAACAAAGGATAGCACTAATTTACTTTTTCTTTCCATACAATAACCCAACGGCAGTACCCATTAGTGCTCCACCAATGATGTTTTCTATTGAACCTGGCGGATGATTGAAACCGTAGCCGTATCCATATCCACCATATCCAAAACCGTATGGATATGAAGGAAACATTGGCGGTGGCACGGGAGGAGGAATTCCCATGCCTGAATTTCATGTATTGCAGAAAAACAATGTGAAAGCTAGCTTGAGTCTTACCATAACCGGCATAAGGGTACCCATAACCGTAAAGGCCGATCTGACAGAAAGCATTTACAGTCATTGAAATCAGTAGTAATTGTGCAAAAAGTATCATTTAGCTGTAGAAGCAGTAGGTTAGAAACTGTTCACCGCGGCTTTCGTCGAAAAATGCTGTCGAAATGATATAGCAAATAATCAGGAGCTGTGATGAAATGGAACTGTTAATACCGATTGATCCGTGACACAAACTTAAAAACGCGAACCGGCCAAAAATTGTCGACAATAGGCGCTTAGGGCTAATCGTATGCCATTCCCGACCTCGCGTACCAGTTTGAGGCATGACACATAGCGTAAGGTTTTTACTAGCTCTACATACTGATTTAGGTTAATGAACTTTCGCAAAAGTACAAAATTCCAGTATTTTCAATAGCTCATGCAAAGAGTTGCCTCGGATATGAGTCAAGTTGTTTATTGCTTTTAAGTGTCAAAGAATTTGAAATTCAGCTTCCAGATATATGAACAATGCTCAAAACTCAGGGCTCGGCATGAGGTGGCTTTTTCAATTTTGCAAAAACGAAGTCCCCGCAGATTTCGCTACACAAATACAACATTACCTATGACGCAATCAGGAATGGACCAATCACGAATAACAAAAAAATAATGAAACAAAACTTAAAAGCAGCATGAACAAACGAAAAGGAACTAAAGAACTTCGTATTCTCCGAATTGGCGGCATGCTGTGTCCGGCGCGTGCCGTTGCGCGCTCGGAGCAGGCTAGCCGCCACCATGCAAAATATTTACAGGGTTGTAACTAGGCGAGGAGGAGGGGGTTCGGGGAGATTCAAAAACTCAGCTATAGGGTTTTTGATGTAGAACGATATGCCAAACTTGTGAAAAAATTATGTGAAGGAAGGAAAATTTATGACTTTTTCTTTTTACAGCCACCTCAGGTGGCTGTCCAAGTGGCTGTAAAACCACCTAACTTCGAAAAAGTTTGCCGCAACTTTAATTCACATAACTTTTTCGTAATTTTATGCACATAGTACTATCTCCCCATTGCCCATCTATGCACCCATTTTGGTTTCATTTCATTTTCATTTCGCTGTAAACAGCCCTTTGTTTGTCTGGGAGACCATGCTGCTGGCATGCCGGCAGCGTGCCGGCAGTAGATCGAAAGACAGCGGCATGCTCTTCCGTAAAAACGATATCTCCTTTGCTTTTTCTCCAAAACGATTCCAGCTTGCCCGGTTAGCCATCTGTGCCGAGACCTGTCAAAACTGTTTTGTTTTGGCTTCGAGTTTTTGCCTACATTATGCTTTTCTTGTGCGAAACTTGCTCAATGTCATGCTGGCGGATAATCTCTGTTACCTTTTTGAAATTTTAGAAAAGTCCAGAAGCCTTTAGAGGCCCCTAATTTGCTTTGTATGTAAAGCACGAAGATTACACATCAGCGAAACTGGCCAGCAAGTTTACGGCAATATCGTAGACACACTCAAAAAATCCATTTTTTCAATGGTTCTTTTTTTGGTTGGACGATGTTTCCTCTATAATTTTCTAGAAATGTATTTCAGCACCTCTTTTCTTGCACCACTCGAATGTCGGTGGGCGTCGGAAACGAGAGGTGAAGAACAATAAGAAAATAAAGCTCATTGAAATTTTTATTTTTGCGTTCATCGCGCAGATTTGGGACAAGGAGAGGTTGGAAATAATCTTTAAAACTTTTTAAAAATGTTCTCCAAAATGAAATCCCAGTTTGCGCCAGCATGACTCATCCAGTGACCTGCGAGAGGTGGATAAAGGTCAAGCTGGAAACCGTTTTGGATGAAAAGCAAAGGGAATATCGTATACGGTTAGGTATACGGGTAGTTGAGATTAACGGCAGAATAAACAAATTGCTCATATCTTACTTTGTGGAGAAGCTAGAAAAAAGAGGTCTACGTCGATTCCTCGAGCTCTTAGCGATAAATGCGTCGAAGGACACATGCATTAACGTCCCTGCTGGGGAGGGGAACATAAGACTCCTTAAAAGAAAGCCTTATATTTTGGGGCTCCAGTGTCCTGGATTTCGCGCAGGCTTACTTTCCACATATTTACTATTTTTTACTATGAACATACTGAACAGGAGCGAAAGATTGTAGAAGCCCTAGAAGCCCCCTCTTCCTTGTTTCTGTAATATAGTAGCTGGAAAAAATACGGTCGAACGATGAATCCTTGTTGCGGCTCACTTGGTATGACTTATAAAAAAGCCTTACGGTAGGGTGTGAACTTGATGTTTATAATCAACGAGTCAATTTAGCCTAAAAAAGAGTTCTCAGCTTGTTGCGTGTCCTTTCTGGGGAAAATGTAGCCATCGATGGCTCAAAGCCAGCCCTCTTCAAAGTGCTGAAATCCTACAGTATGGAAGCGCGAGGGATGGCTCGCTCATTGCTAATTTGCAGTTAAAGCTTGCTCTAGAGAATGATACTTGAAGCTAAGCAAAAGACTTTGTTAGAGTTAATAGGCAGAGAGTTATTAACGAAAAGTGTGTACTTCCATTTGGAATAAATCCCTGTAAAAGAAAACTACTTTAAGCTCTAATGATAAGTTCTCGAACACCACATCAGTTTTCGGGTACACTTTTTTCAGATGGCATGATTTACAAGGAACAGAGTTTTTAGGCGTTGATGCTCATTCAGACAGCAAACACGATTATATGGGAAAGACTTCCATGATTCAATTATAGCCCAAAGTAACGTTGGCCCAAAAGTCAAGCATCTGTGGCGTCATATTCTTTCCCGGAACGGGAACCATTAATATATTAGATCATTCGTAAAGTAATTTCGCTTTTTGTTAAAAGAGCAAAGCAAAAGCCAAAATGAATTAACAATTTTGAGTGCATTCGATGCAACTTTTCGTCCTCTTTCAAAGTAATTTACGTATCTCAGTTCAATCAAAGATCTCTCAAAAAATGACCGAAAACTACTAGCATGGATTTTGCCATACAAATTTCGCTATTCTTTCAAATTTTTTTACTGCGTCTCTGTTTAAACCCACATAACACTGGATAAAGCAAACTCTACAAGATGCAAAACAATTTTTTCTCTTCCATAACTTGCTGAAGTCTTCGAAATTGTTTCTTCGATGATTCCATATCTGGCCAACCCTCATAGAACAACAACCGGCCATCAGGATGTCATATGATGCAGAATTTTCTCCTTTTTTTGGCATTTATGTTTTCTGTCTCTGATTCGTAAAGTATTCGGGCACAAAACTAACAAAATTTATGTTTGACTCGGCCCAACGATACCCCGAAAACTCGAGTTTTGACATTTTACATCTCTGCACGCTTATCGCCTTGGAAAATCACCGTTGAATCATAATCTACTTTTGAAAGTCCGTAATCCTTGAAACTTTTTGGTGTTTGGCGCGTCCTTGGATAGACATTGTAAAACTCACAAGTCAGTCAGTCTTGTCAGTCATGAAAAATTCTGTCAAAAAATTATGGCGAGTCATAGGAAGAAGGTGAGAATGATTGCAGATCCATCCGTTACTTGAACTTGTTCGGGGGACTTGAATAAAAAACTAGAAAAATGGCGAAAATTGACCATGACAAAAACCATGGATTATAGTTTTTCATAATTTTCCAGAGCAGTATAACTTTTTCAACAGTATAAAAAACTGCATCGACTACTACTAATACCTTCATGGATCTTTCGAGTGGCGTTTGTTAAAAAAAGCAAAATTATTTTTGGACGACCTAATAGTTTGGAATACTGTCCAATAGGTCAAAACAACTTTTACAAGATGGCCCCTCTACATATCCGTCGAATGCGGCTGCTTTACCTACAAGATGAAGTGAAGATTTCAAATTGGAATATAAGTTTAGCTACAGAGAAAGGAAGAATTTTCTACAACATTCGCAGGGAATTTTTGAAAATCGGAATGGTTGCCTTTCGTTATGTTTTACTCACAGAAAATTGATTTTCAAATGGTTGGAGTTATGGCAAGTTCTAAGCTAGCTTTATTGGGTTTGAATCTCCATACCGTTTTGTAACAGATTTTATTTTAGCAAAAGTCCATACAAAATCTGGAAATGGAAAAAAAGAATAGAGGCGAGAATTTTCAAAAGTTAGGGGTAAATATTTTGGAGGTGCTATTACGGAACTGTCCTTATATTGCTGTGACTCATGTCTGTAAAGGTGGAACACCAATGCAGTCCTATGCCCCTTCTTTATATGTTTCAAGTGTGAAATTGCCAGTAAATAGCCTTCTGTCCTTTCTATGCTTTCTGCTATGAGCTTCTGCTGAAGTCTAGAGTTTTATGAAGCATCAAAAGGTGCAGCAAGATTTAATCTAACTTAATACGCTAATACTGTAAGGCCGTCCCCCCCCCCCAATGTGCAACAACTGAAAAGTGTGCTTCACGAAATAATCAAATAGATACCAAAGCATTATAAAAAAATTTTGATTTTGAAACGAGCATACTATGGGGGCGGAATGATAAAGTCCCTTAGCATGTCTTTGTTCCTAGGATTGGATGCATCCAGATGCAAAAATAAAGCAATTTTTTTAGAGAATTATTTGATTTAAGTAAAGGTTCTAATTTAAGGTTTCGATCTGCGTGAGCAGCGATGTTGAAGATTTAGAAACTTCTGAAAAAGCCATAAACAAGGTAACAAGCCTTTAAAATACTTCAGTATGAAATAGACTTTTTTGCAGAGACATGATCACAGAAATTGTTGTCCTTTCTTTTCTGATAGCGAATATTTCCTGCTCTGAGGCTACTCTTCGGATTGGAGGATGCAATCCATGCTATCTATACTATCCAGCGGGAATTATTAGATATATGTTTTACTGTCGCCCAAAATGCAAGAAAACCAAGGAGGTTGCCACTACAGCTGCGACCATTGAGTGTCCTCCAGGTTGCATGCCAGTACCCGAACAGTGGAAAATAGAAGAGTTAGCCGAGGAAAGAATTAGTGAAGCATCGACTGCACCTACACACATTAAGTTAACTATCCCACCATTTGTACTCCCGTTCGGTCACCTATTTCCACCTATCTCTAACGTGCCCCCACGGCACGTTAGAGATAACTACTATCTACTATCCTTGGCTCCATGGCTGAAGAAGAAATGTTGCTGATGCTAACACTGACGCTGCGTTGTGCTGTTTCACTAAAATTCTGGTAATCTGTTTTATTTACTTGATTACGAATAT